AAGGGAGTTTCCCCCTCAGTATCAATGGGGCCAGAACTGCAGCCTAGGAATTTCAGGCTGTCTGAGGCTAGAACAGGGGCAGGCAATTATTTTGGATGGAGGGTCGCTTACCAAGTTTTGGCAAGCCATCGAGGCCCGCATGACAGGCAGTCAGGGGCAGATAAATATTAATTTTATAAATTTTGGGGGACTCCGCAGGCCAGACAGAATGGCCTGGCAGGCCTCATTTTGCCCACCCCTGGGCTAGAACCAGCCCAGTCCTTCTTCGACTTATAAAGAGGTGCCAGGACTCAAGAAGGTGGTGATGGGCTACAGATTTACTGGTTCAAATTGCATTTGAGCTAAGAAAGTAGAGGTACTCGGCTTTTGTGGGTCTCAGTGTGGTCCCTCATGAGCCATTCCCCAGAACCAGGACTGGAGCTGCAGAGGTCAGTCCTGAAAGGGCCATGGAGGTGTTTCCCTCCCACCTACTCCCCACTCCTAGTAGTATCTAGGCTGTGGGGCCTGTGAGTTGTGCCTGCTGGGAGAGAGAAGCTTTGGCCCTTTCTCCTCTAGACTGGATACCTATACCGCAATGTTGCATGCAAGTGTGAACTCTGGAGGGCCTGGACACCAGTCACAGTCTGTCTTTTGACTTGCCTGGGATGTATACGGAGCTAAGAAGGAACCAATCCTGGCTCCTCCACATGCCTGTGGAATGGTTTGAATGCCAAAGAGTTGTCATTTGGGCTACCGGAGTAGGGAGGCAGGCTCTGAGGAGGTGGAGAGGCCCACAGTGATTGCTGTACACAGGGTGGTCCTACAGACAAAGCACTGCCCAGCTGTGGGAGGAGCAGCTGGCCGGAGGATGGCTCAGTGTTTTGGTACTGGCATAGGAAATCTGGGATCTGTTGCTTGCTCTGACACCGATTCCCACTGTGCCCTTCGGCAACTCACCGAATCACCCACGGCCCCAGTGCCCTGTCTGCACAGAAGGGATACTAGCACTGCCTTGCTTCACATCCTGTGAGGTGCTCAAACACTATGGAGACTGGCACCACATAAACAGGCCACAGCCACCAGGCCTGGCTGCTTGGAGCTGGGGATTACCTCCTGTGCACCCTTTTGCGCATGCAGTCATAGTATCCTGTTTTGTGTACAAACATTTTGGAGGCCACAGCAGGTTTGGGCCATCACGGTGGAAGCTGCCATACTGTTACCCTTCTTGATGAATCATTGCTGTGGTTATAACCACTCTTCAAAAAAAATGTATGGGGGCGAAATATACCTTGCACTAACCCCCCACAGCTAGATGTTGAGCTGCATTTCCGTTACTTTAACTTCCACCTTTAGACTAAGGAGATGGCAGCTTCCGGTTTGAGTGTGAAGTACCCTGGTTGTGTTTAAGACACTGCAAGAAAGCATTTCAGCAGCTGACGCTCTGCAGTAATTAGATGCAATAACCAGAGTCTTTTTTTATGCCATACTGGAGTTTTCCCTTCAGATCAATTGTTAACTGAAGTGAGAAACGAGATTTTCCCCATCAGAGCTGTCAGTTGAAGATGCAGCTTTAGGACAGAGGCTGGGGAAGGCCATTTTACCAGCACTGACTTTGCTCTGTTTTCCTTAAGTCTTTTTCCAATGATGTGTAGAAAAAAGGTTTGTGCAACTAGCACAGTAGTACACACAAAGCAGGTGAGGCTTGGGGGGGGGCAGTGGGGGCAGGGCCTTGAGGGCTTGTTTCACACTGTGTCATTAAAATTACCTTGTAACCCTGGGCAACTCACCTAGTGCATCCGTGCCTCAGTTTCCTCAACCAATAAAATTCTGTGATGATAACTTCTTCCATCATAAATACTTGGGGGAGTTCAAAAATGATCCAGTCACCTGAAATTGGACTTTTGACTTATTTTAAACAAACTTTTACAGAATATGAAATCTTCCACCCCCCATGCAATTGAAAAACAACCACATTTTAACATCGTTCTACATGCTTAAGCATCTACAGGATGAGGAATCAAGTGACAGGGAAAGGAAAGAATATGAGAGAATTTGGGGGTTTTTCAGGTTTTTTCATCTTCAATAGTCTAACAGGCAATACAGGTAAAATAATTAATTATACTATATAGTGAATACACTGTACTATGTTAGACTGTTCATTCCATCCAGGAAGAGCACACACCAACTGCAGAGGCTTCTTCAGCCTGATGAAGGGTTTTTAAACCTGAAAGCTTGCTAAAAAAAGATTTTTCCAACTATTTAAGTTGGTCTAATAAAAGACATCAGATTCACCCAAGGAACCTTGTCTGCCTATGTCCTTATACTAACACGGCTACAACCTACACCCCAGTGTACTGTATGTTATACATCTGGAGTATGTACGTGTTATATATGTATATTATACCTGAGAGTGCAGGTTTTGTTAATAAATCTTTAAATGCTTTGAAAGCTGGCATAGGAAACTAATTTGCCCCCATGAGGTAGGCAAATATCTTTGTCCTTATATTACAGATGAGGAACCTGGGGCACAGAGAAGGAATATCACTTTCACAAGCTCCAACAGTAAGATAGTGCTATTCAGGACTAGACCTTAGGCCTCTGGATGCCGAGTCTTGTCTTCTGACCACCAGCCCCACTAACTACCTAGCAGAGCAAATATGGGCCTTCACATGTGCCAATTAGAAGGGTGACCTTGCCAGTGAGATCCATGTCAGAAATGCTGTAGATCCAACTTGTTCTGTTCAAAGGCATTTCTATGTTACCAAGTACGTGTCCCCTGAAAGACACGTGGACCTAGCTAGAGGCTGCATTTTCCACAAGGCAGTCCCAAATTTGCTGAGTTTTGCAGATTATAAAATAATTCCAATTGCAGTACATGAACGAGAGGCGTTTATCTCTCCCTGCTCACCCTGTCATCCAGTGAGAGGTAATTTTTTTGTTGTTTTTTTAGCCTTCAGACAGGATAAAGTAACAGCCCCAGTGCCAACCCTCTTTTGGGGGGTGGGGTAGAGGAGGAGGAGGGCAGATATGCCAGAGTAATTGAAGATGGAGCCCCGGTCCAATGCTGGGGCCTAGGAAATGGGTCGCAGTGAGGGAAAGAACAGGTAGGGTTTGAGAAGTAGCCCTGGTTTCTGGGGTTGGGGGGGGGGGTCATATTCAGTGTGGTGCTTGGATTCCAGCCCTGCAGACACTGAATACCAACAAGCACTGAGCCTGGGCCCAGGAACAGGCCCTAGCTAGTCTGAGTCACATCTTATTTGCCAGACCCTGCACAATGGCTCACCCCTTGTAGTCCTGTGTAATGGCTTTTTAACCTGGCAGGGGAAACACCATGTATCTGTGTCCAAGAAGGCAGCTTTCCTGAACCGCATCGTGGGAGAACTGCTCTTCTGACGTGGTTCAGTATCCGCCGAGGTGCAGCTGCTTTAAGCCCAGTTTATGGAGATGGGGGTCTCCTCCCTTGCTTGCTCCTGCGGCCTTATGGCTGAGAGGAAGCAAAACTCGGGGGCATCCGAACCCCAAGCCTCTGGCTTTCAGCCTGCAAGCAGGACGCCTGCCAATGGATTTGGAAACATCTGAAGCCCCAGGTGTGCACAGAGCACATTTGCCATTGGTAGGGCCTCTTACGGTTCTGGGCTTTTGGATTTGGAATTAGTTTTGGGTAATTTGGCCTCGGATACAAATTATATCTATAAAAAATCCTGCGGCCCTGCTGGAACACCTTTCCAGACGGCCCCTTGCTCTCAGGGCCAACATAGAGAGAGTTGGGCCTGGGGTGCAAGCATCAGAGCTGGTTTGGGACACGAGCTGGGGGTTGGGAAGGGTTACCTGAATCAGGTTTCCATGGTGTTATGAGCAATGATTTGGGGCCAGCCCAGGGGCAGGGGCAACCACTAGGCAGCCTCTGTTAATGCGTCTCCCACCCCCACTCTGGCAGGACATTTACCCACTGGAACTTGGCTTGTTTGCTCCCACCGGGCACTGCCAGGACCAGGCTCAAAATAGGGGCCACTTGGAGTCACACATCTTTGCTTTTAGCCCTATTTCACAGTTGGGAAAACAGAGGCTCTGAGAGGGGAAGGCTTGACAGGGGCTCGGGGGGCGGGTGTAAAGCAAGGGGTGGGGGCAACTGTCAAACACAGGGCTCCGGGCTCTGGGGTTTGCCCACTCTCGGCGTCCGTCCTGGCGCATCTCGGTACCTCGGGCCCGGCCGCTGCCCAATGCTACAGGGGAAGGAGGAAAGGGGGGAGAAGTGTACTGTCCCTTTAACACGGAACTTGTTTCTCCCCGTGGTTTGTTTACATCTTCGTCCGCACCGATCAAGGCCCGATGAGGTACGCAGTGCCAAGCACTCGATCTACTCCGATATCCTTCCGCCCTCCAGGGCCTCCCGCCCGAATGTCGCTTTAAGCTGCTTCTCTGTGCCGGTCCACGCGGCCACCCCGCCAACGTAACTCCGTGATTTCGGGACCGGCCTCGCGCACTCGGCGCAAGCCTCCACTCGGGACACGGGGCCTACGGGACTATTTTTGGATCATACCAATTATTGCCGTGGGGAGGGGGGTTGAGGCCGGGGCGCGGCGTCCAGCCGGGGCGAGGGGCAGCGTGCGCCTACCCGCACCTGCCCTTCAGGATGCAGTTGAAGGCCGCTTGGCGTTGTTTGGCGCCCACAACGGGCTGAAGCCCCTGAAACACATGGACTGATCCAAGTTCCACCTCCTCTCTCATTGGCTTAGCCGCGCATGAACGACGGGCGCTCTAGCCAATCAAGGGCTAATCACAGCGAAGACCAATAGGTGGTGCCTGGTGCGTGGCTCCGCCCACAGCGCTTGCTGATTGGCCGCAGGGGAGGCTCCGCCGCGCTTCTGGGAGCCGTAGTCGTTCCAGCCGGCGCAAGCTAAGGAATCGATCGGGACGAGAGACCACGCATCCCAGCATGCCCCGGGGCGGCGAGCGGCAAATGCGCCTGCGCGGCGCGGGGCGGAGCCTAGTGCCTCTATATAAGGCGAGGCAGAGGGCTGGGAGCAGCAGTTGAGAGCTGGCGGTGCTGGGAGCGGGCAGCTGAGCTCGAGCTGGGAAGGGAGGGGCCGGGCGCAAAAGCCGGAGGGTGTGATGAGCGCGTCAGGTCTCTGCACGGCTCGGCACAGGCGCTGGGCAGCTTAGAGGCGCTGCAGCTGCCCTGCTCGGGGCGGGACTTGGCGGAATTAACCCCTTCGTGGTTCCGGACACTTTTAACCCCTTGGGGCCTGGAGTGGACGGTTTAACCCCTTGGCGGCTGGAGCGTGTCGGCGGCCCGGCCCGGACGGACGGACTGATCCGGCCCCAGGCGGAGCTCCCCCGCGCCCCATCTCTCCCCGATGTGCGGGCCTGGGGCCGCTGTTGCGAGGAGCCGAGAAGAGGCGAGTGCCTGCCCCTGAGCCCTCCCGGCGGCGGCAGCAGCGAACTGGAGGAGCCCAGCCCGGCCATGGCTGAGCCCGAGCCCGACCTCGGCCCGGAGCGCTGCGAAACTTCTCCGTCCAAGTGTGCAGGTGGCGCGGGCGGAGAGGAGCACTTGGCGGAGCCGGCCCCCGCCGCCGCGGGGCTGCGCCAGGACGAGGACAGTAGGTGGCAACCGAGAGAAGTGCAGCAAGAGGAGGAGGAGGAGCAGGAGCAGGGGGTGTGTCCGGGGGCCGAGCAGGCCCCTGCCCCGCCGACCGAGGCGGGCCAGGACTCGCCCTGCCTGGAGGGTGGCACTGCCGAGGCAGAGGGCGGGGAGAGCCACCCCCAGCCATGCCAGCGGGGCTGTGGCGGGCAGCGCTGCCGAGCTGCTGTGGGAGGTGGGCAGGAGGCCTGGCCGCAGCAGCGCCAGCTGGGCAAGAAGAAGCACCGCCGGCGGCCATCCAAGAAGAAGCGGCACTGGAAGCCTTACTCCAAGTTGAGCTGGGAGGAGAAGCGCAAGTTTGACGAGAAGCAGAGCCTGCGGGCCTCACGCCTCCGTGCTGAGATGTTCGCCAAGGGGCAGCCTGTGGCACCCTACAACACCACACAGTTCCTCATGGAGGACCATGACCAGGAGGAGCCTGACCTCAAGACTGAGTTTTACCCACGGCGGGTGGCCACCAAGTCAGACACCAGCGAGGAGGACTTCATGGAGGAGGGCGCCGATGAGGACGGTGGCAGTGATGGCATGGGTGGGGATGGCAGCGAGTTCCTGCAGCGGGACTTCTCCGAGACCTATGAGCGGTACCATGTGGAGAGCCTGCAGAACATGAGCAAGCAGGAGCTGATCAAGGAGTACCTGGAGCTGGAAAAATGCCTCTCCCGGATGGAGGATGAGAACAACCGGCTGAGGATGGAGAGCAAAAAGTATGGGGGGGACTCGGCTGAGGACACTAGGGTAAGAGACCTGGAGCTGGAACTGGACAGGTTGAGAGCCGAGAACCTGAAGCTGTTGAAAGAGAATGAACTTCACAGACAGCAGGAGACCCCCCTCCCACAGTTCGGGGAGTGAGAGAGACTCAGCTGGGGCTGGGGGGGTGGGGGGGAGGAGGACTTTTTACAGTGTTGGAATGTAACATTATATACATATGTGTATATACAAGACAGCGGACCGTTTTTATGATGCATAAACAGAATAAACCACAGCCTTGTATTGTTTTGAAGATATAGCTATAGCTTAGTGTGCGTTCTGTTCTTAATCATGTGCAACGGAGATTTCCCTTCTCTGTTTTTTTTCTTTTAAAATGATTGTGACTGGGGTGAGGGGGGGGTTGATGTGTTAAGTAAAACTTGACTCAACTTGCGATGCTTTTTTG